TATCATTGCTGCTTAAGTACTGTCAGTGCATTTTCCAACAGAAACTAATTAATTTTTAAATACTCTGAAATGTTGTCATGGTTTAATCCCAGCTAGCAAATAAGTGCCATGCAGCTGCTTGCTCACTCCTCCCTCCCGGTGGGACAGAGAGAAGAACCGAAAACAGGTAAAACTTGTGGGATGAGATAGGAACAGCTTAATAATTGAAATAAAAAATAAAGTATACTACTACTAATAATAATTGTAATGAAAAGGAAAATAACAAAAAGAGAGTGAAATAAAACCCAAGACAGAGAAGTGATGCACAACACACTTGCTCACCACCCACTGACCAGTGCTGAGCCAGCCCCTCAGCAGCAATCTGCCCCTCCCCGCTAACTCCCCACAGTTTATATACTGAGCACGACATCATATGGTATAGAATATTCCTTTGGCCAGTTTCGGTCAGCTGTGCTGGCTGTGTCCCCTTCCAACTTCTTGTGCCCCTCCAGCCTTCTTGATGGCAGGGCATGAGAAGCTGAAAAGTCCTTGACTTAGTATAGGCACTATGTAGCAACAACTAAAACCACCAGTGTTTATCAACTTTATTCTCATATTAAATCCAAAACACAACACTGCCAGCTAGCCAAAGAAAATTAACTCTTTCCCAGTCAGAACCAGGACAAATGTCCCAAAGCATTTCTTGATTGCTGAGGTTCACTTCTTTCCAAGGATTTTTTGCAGAGACTGCAGTTCACAACATTGCAAGTGACAGCAGCTACTATTAGCAGGAACAGTGATGATTCAATGTCCCATGATTTAGCTACACATTTCTTATAAAACACCCTGTCACTGAATGTATTCACTGATTGCAAGTATGACACCCAAAGGGCTTCGTTAGGTTTGAAACGTGTATATGAAGCCATAAAGAAAATAAATAAAAATATCAATTTTAATTAAGACACAGCTCTAATGTTAAATAAAAACAATGGTACATAGAAAGGTATTGGTCCTTCCCTTAGTAGGTGTAACCAATAATAACACAAGTCACTCAGTCTTTGCTACTTATTCAGTGTTTTCATTATTTAGTTTTTTCCTAATATGTGTGTTGCAGAGAAAGCCCATTTCCACTATTATTGCTAATACAACCCCCAATTTTTAAGTCAAATTACAAGAAATAACCATACATTTGGAGAGAAGTTTAAAGAAGGAGCTTCTGTACGTGCCCCTCTGTAAATCAGTCTAACAGGCCAGTTGCAAGTTTCTTTCCATCATAACCCATGCTGTCAGTGGAAGACAATAACACATCACTGGTACTGCTAAAGTTCTCAGAAGTTCTAACCAGAAGAAAGAATCACGGTAGAAAGGTTAAAACAAGGAAGACCACAAAATGGAAAAGTCCCTTATTACAGAAAGCTGAAAACTAAGGTTTAAGAAAGCAAATGGATCCTGGTAAACAGGAGAGGATAAAGGTGCAACGGCCTGTAAGTAAGCAAGCTCAGATCACTGCATCACTAGTTAACAACATGTTTTGCCATTCACATATTTTATAGCTAACAGTCAAATCAAGAAGAAAGTAGGTGAATAAGCAATTACTAATTCTTGAGCTTTTTCGGACTCAATTTAGGTATTTCAGTTTAAATACTTAAAGTTTGATAAAATGGGTCAGGGCCTTAGTTTCAATTAATTCTTCCAGTTGTCTTTCTCATTGCTAAAAATCTTCCTCTAAAAATGAATTAAAGACATCCCCTCTGTAGCAGGATATTTTATGTATGCCACAAATAAAAACTATTATTAAAGAATTTATAGGCCAAAACAGTAAGGTTAAAGGAGCAATCAATAACCTGAATGTAACACATCATGAAGTTTTAAAAGGCATACAATAATTCAGCCCAGTATCTCAAACACTGCATTTCACCAACACATCATGCTATAGTTGGAAAAAAAATAGTAGGATCGACAAAATAGAGTAGCCAAATTTCACAAACAAAATTAAACGTCCTACATAAATTCCAGCACAGCCTTTTAGTATTCCAGTGTTTAAGACTGAAAGCACCGATGCTACGGTGCTCTTTGCATACATGAAGTAGAACAACATAAAAAATCAGGTATAGAATTTGTCAGTACTATCTATTTTAAGTGTGATCATTAAGGACAGGATCAACTGCAATTACAGATGAGATCTGGAGGATTATTTTATGGTTTAATAAAGGAAAGGACACTTTTTTTTTCCTCTCCTTTGTTAATATCTGAGGGGGGGGGGATGAATATCACTGAGAATTGCCATGATAACTGGTTAAAAGAAAGTTTACAAAAAGAATATTAAAAACTTTTAGAAACTAAAATAGCTTGGACAATTTTTTAATCCTCTTATCACTTCAGTTTTATGCACACTGCTGTTACTAATATACAAATATTGCCCAAAATTTAACTGCTGCTGACTGTTTGCTCTTACTGCAATTATTTGCAGTTTCTAAGCCTCTGCATTCACATTACGTTTTCACACAGTAAAAAGTTATTTCAGTATTAAATTGGTAGCTCCACCTAGTGTTGTTCATGACTTACTCTAACTGGAACTGAAAAGCAGAGAGCTAGTCATAACACACAGCTGTACACTACCTCTGCTTGCTGCTTGGAAAAGCAGCTCCTCCTATACCCTGCACACAGAATCAACACCCACACCCCAAGCTAGTAAGTTTGTTTGCTTGTTTCATTCTTGCAACAACGAAATACTGCTTTTTAAATCTCAGGGAGACAAAAAAGGAGTCAGAAGTCTTCTGGCAACTTCAGCTCACAGTTCAGGACCACTGACTGTACAGTATTGCTATTACTGTGACAGACCGTTTCAGGCCTCGAATTTGTTTCTGAGAAAGACTGTTCCTCCAATATGGACAGAGCCTAAGGAATAGCAGATGGCTCATCTGTTCCTATTATCTTTCTTGGGGGGTAGATATCTGTCTGGATAATGCTCCTGTTTGGTACCCATGAAGCCTTCTGAAGAAAGGTATTAAATTGACTTAGGACTCGGTGTCGTCAATCCAAGATGACTTTAGACTGCATATTCTCTACCCTGATTGCAGCGACAGCTTAGCTTTAGTCAGGGTTGTGACAGAATTGGAATGCAGAGACAGTTGACTCACCCCATGCAATACAGCAGTTACATTGAGGGGCTGAAGAAATACAACACATGAAGTACTGAAGTTTCAGAAGATCCTTTAAAAGGGAAAGCGTACCTACACTGTTTCATTTGGATATATTGCTGCCGCCTGCCTTCCCCCCCTGAAAAAAAAAACCAACAAACCAAACCCAACCAAGTGGGTTGTGTGCTTCTCAGATGACTGCGAAATAAAAGATATTTAGTTGTTTTAAGTGATACTCCCCCACCCCACCCAAGAAAGGTATTGTCACAATGATCCACCTTTGTCACCTCAAGAACAACTTGCTGACATTTTCTTTAAAGTGGAAACTTAGTAGAAATTCATCGGCATCTTCATAAAGAGTGCATCCCAGTTCTTTAATGCATCGCAACTGGGATGTGTTCTGTATTGCACACATTGTATACTCTTCCAATTTTACATCTGGTTAGAATTTTCAAAGTTTTGGTTCTGAATCACTAATCTCAAAATAAAATGGTGCCCCAGAACCCTGGAGAACTCCTCTTTGCCTATGCATAACCAAGGTGGCAGATCAACCTGCTTTAAATGACAGTGTGATAAAGGCCAGGCAGTTCTGGTGAGCGTTTTTGCCCACACAAATGTATTTCCCCAAAAGACAGCATTCTCTGTATGCTATGTTGCACTGTTCATTTTTTTTTTAAATCTCAGGCATACCTATAGACTGAGAAGGAATGATTAGTTAGATGGTGTGAGGTCTGCACTATGAAGACACACAGAGGGTATACTTTTTTCAAATAAATATTTATAGCACTCCTAAGTGTGCGTCAAACCCATTTCTATAATATGAAATAAAATAAACTGGTGATTATTTCAACTGAAACTGTTGAACTTCTTTTACAACAGCAAAGTTAGTTAAGTGCAGATATCTACATAGTATTTTCTATTTCTAGAATGAAATACTGTGCAGCCTATAATATGATTACTAAGTTTGCAAGTAACAAGAGTTTAATTAGAAAGCAAGTTTTCAATCTCTCAAATGATATGATTATTGGTACTCAGTTCACCAAAATACAAGTTGCAGTAACACTTAGCTCTTAGGATAACTTGATTTAGTAATTGATTAAGAATGTTAAATTTGCAGATCACAAGATACCTTTTTTTTGTGTTACTAACACAAACCTGCACACTTGTGTTTTAAATCTCCTAAAACTCTGTCCGGGGTTGAGTGAGTGGTGGAGTTTTTTGGTGGCAGGGGAGGGGGCTATAGGGGCCACGACAAACTCCTGCTACTAAAGCTATCAGCAAGTAAGCAGATACATCAGTTCTGAATGTTTCCTAATGACTGAAGAGAATCAAAACTTTCTCCATACAATAATAATTACCAGTATTGAAGCCTACAGTTTTTGCCACAGAAAAGCAAATTCTGTGCTGCTGTCCCCTGACACCATGCTCTCAATGGTGCCCATCTGGAATTCACATGCCCAAGTCTGAAGAATTTATCATTCTCCAAGACCTGATGATGGTACTGACTGTATACTTGGTGACATCAGGTAGGTTTAGCGTCACAGAGTGAAAGGGAAAACCTGGATCTTTGAATCTAGAATTCTGTTACCTCGGGAACCACTTCAGAAGCTTACTCTGCAGGTCTTTAAAAGGTGTTGGACTCGGACTGCCAGGTTGTTTTGTTTCAGAACCCACTCCTAAGAGCCAGAAATCTTCTTCAGGTTGAGTCTCACTTTATTTAGGACTATTTCTTCTTGTGACAGCACTATTCTTCATCTTAAATAGCTTGCAGTAATCCAATTCATAAGCAATTTAAATTTTGGTTTTAGTCATGCCTATAGATTTTTCAGCAGTTTACTTTATAGATCTGAAAATAAATATTTAATCACAATGCACACTTACCTGTAAGCATTAATGTAATCCTTTCTGTGTTGCAGAAGAAAATCTTTCAGCTTTCCAATATGAGAAATCTAAATTAACAGAAAACATAATTAAACTTCAGTCAGATAACTGATTACTTCAATGTTTAAAGTTCAGTATTCCAACACTTCAAACATGAATCGTAAAATTATTCTGTAAAATCATAAAATTTACTGTTTTATATTAGAATTTTCACATTCTGCAAGCAGTCAATACATAAAAATAATCTAAAAAAGACCTGTTGTTTGAAAATATAACTCAAAGTAGTAAAAATATGTCTTCTGTCCAAAACCCATAAACACTAAACATTACTAAACACTAAATATAACTACAAGACTAAACATTAAAAATACTAAACATAACAGTAACACAAAACATTATCTAAACTGGCAATCTAGACCCTAAGGTACATTTTGGAAAATAAATTCATTTTAGGAGATCACACAAGAAAGTTTTAAACATTTTACTGATGAGATATGATATAAATATTCAAGTTCAGTTATCTGAACTTGTAGAGTAAGGTGCTGTCCCTTACCTTTCTTTTTTGCTATAATAGTATAACCAGTCTGTGTCCAAACTAAAGTAGTATCTTTATCATCTGACAATCTTTAATAAGTTTTGCAGAGCATACACCCATATCAAATTTCTGTTTCTGGATTTCCACTTCACTGTGGATACATTTTACTAAAAATCCATTTGATTTACTGTAATTAAAGTATTTACAAAGATCCTTTGAAAAGATGAAAAAATTCCTAAAAATCTGAAAGAACTTCTGCAAATTCTCGTCTGATTTAAAAGATTTGGTGTAGCATAAGATTAGAGAATGAAGGAACTACAGAAATCTAGTTTAATTGGCCACAGAAATGAGATGACTACCAATATGAGTTCCTTGGCAGGTTTTGAAGGGGACATGATGGGGGCAGTGTGGGGGGGATTATAGACATTAGTGGTATATATTTTCAAGGGGTAGGCAGGGGGAACCTTTCTAAAGCATATTTTCGAATATTCACTAATAAGTCAGTATTAAAAAAGTGTACAAGGAATTTTACAAAACAAAAGTTGTTTTAGTTTACAAATACGATAAATGCAGTTTACTCCATGTATCTGGGAAAAAGCATGAGAAGCTGTTCAAGTCTTAAAATCCTATTTTCATGCAAATGTTCCTTGTAATTAAACAAAAAATACACAGAGAAAGAACACAGAATAGTTTGGATAAACAGAAGATAAATTCCCCCAATTATTTTTTTTCAAAAGATCAGCAGCTCTTTGAAAAAAAGAGAAAAAAAAAATGTACTTAGTAAGACCACAGTGTTTTGTACAACTAAAAGTAAGTGTTTCCTTGTGCAAAAAAATATGCATACATTTCCCTATTATTATTTGCTCTGTTTCATTTTTACAATTTATCATAATGGATAAGAATTTTCCCAGTTTTCACGTTTAAAGTTTTCCATGTGATTAACAGCACAGGAAATTTCATCCCATTCATAGCAAACTGAGTTCCGTTAGTACCTCCAGCAGATCTGAAGTTTCCTAAAGTCTGTTAGCACTGTCACAGGAGTAAGAAGGGAAATTCTAAAATCACTACAAGATCAATGAGGCACAAAGAATAAGCTAAACAATTCTACAGATGTTCCTTCTCATCGCCACTGGTACTTATTTTTTGTATAGTAATCTCTTTTTCAGCTCAGACTTCGTATGTAATGAAATTTGCTGAATAGGTAAATTAAGCTTGACTATGAAAGCAAAACAGTTAAAACAGTCATACAGTGTTTCAATAGAACAATAATACTTAATAGGCACAAAGAAAGTACTAAAGGACAAAGAGTAGAAATGTAAAATAAGAAACACATTTCAAAACATTTACATTAATATGTGAACAAACACTAAGCTAGAAAATAGATTAGCAAAATTTTCTTAGTAATAAATCTTAATATTACTGCAATAGCTACAATTTAGGAGTGATTAACAAGCAGAAAGAATCAGAATGACAAGCAAGAACACTGTCTTACAGTAATTAATTCATCTAGTCACAAAGAACGTTCTATTTAGGCTAAAATTGTCATCGTGTGTTTGAATTGCACTGACCCCACTTTGCCTCTCCTTCATTTGTAAAGCTATTTTCATGAATTTAGAATGACACCATTATGCCCATACTTGCATCAAGCTCTTAGTTCCCAAGATTTGCATCAGAAGTGAGACTTCTTGTTCTACTTTCCCTCAAATTCTAACAGCATCTCATGCAATCCTGCACTGCTGCTATTTCTCTTTTGCCTTTTCCTACTGTGTACTACTGGCATAGTTTTTAATTCAATTTGTCATTACCATATCAACAGAATTAAAGAATTTTTGTGGAAAATAAGGTCTCCCTAGCATTAAAGGAAATGTGAATTTTATCCAAAAATATATTTTTTTTTTGGGGGGGGGGGGGGGGGGGGTGGTGGTGGGGTGGTGTACAATGCTTAATCTTCTGAAGACACAAATTATCCCTGATTATACAAATATAAATTGCAGGGCATCAACCTGCAGTTACTCTGGCATTATCCGACACACAACAATACACTATTTACAAAGTTATCAAGTGCCAGCCTAAAGGTAATAAAGCATCTCCCTACTCCAACCGAATGGCTTTACTAGAATCCTGTTGCTCTTATTCATAAAAGCCATCAAATTTCCAGGTTTACTGATTACCAACTTCCATCCACCTGTTCTTGCTTCAAAACAGTTCTTTCCCTTAAAAGCTCTGCTGCCCTGCATGTGTGCGAGTTTACCACCAATAAGCCCACCTGCTCTAACTTCTGTAGCCCCAGACAAATGACCCCAAGCTTTTAGTTTCTTCTCACAAGATAGTTCTGAAGTTGCCTAACCTGTAACTTTCCTTTGCATGTGCTCCAGTTTCTATCCATCTTTTTCCAATGCAGATGACTAAATGGGCATTCACTGGTGTTAGTTACTTTGTAACTCACCTGGAAATACTTTCCTTCCCCCTTTTTCATTGATCAATTTTGACCTTATTCTTTGTTTTGTTCTCTAAATACCTATTCTACTGCCAAATTTCTTTCTTCTCCCCACAACTCCAGACCCCAGAGTCATTCGGCACTTGCTGTAACATATCATGCTCCTTCCTCTTTCCTCTCAGCAATCTCTCTTACTCTGGGATAGATTTTAAAACTCATCTTGTTCAGTACTGCTCTTATTTTTGGAATGCAAAAAGCAATTCCACTATTAACCTCTCTTCAGCCCAACACTTCTTTCAACACAGAAGCATTGTTTCTGCTTATTTATCTTACTCAGTTAATATTTTCTCTGCTAGCTCTTCTAGACTTCCCATTAGCACTTTATCAGACACTTTACCATCAGACACCACTCCATCTTAACAAAGGAAAGGCAGATTTTCTTAAAGCATCAAGTTGGTTGGCCACATCCCATTTTTAGTAAGACAGCAAATTAATACTGCACCGTATCTTGCTTTCTATTTATCTTTTTCCCCTTAAAATCTCTTCTGAATCCTGGACTACTACTGGGTCAGGTCCTGCTGATGCCATTATCTGTTTCCATCTGCTGATTTAATTATGGGCATTAAGTTTGCTTCCCTCTGATCAAATGGTACCATCTTCATTTTCATTAAAATTATGTATTAATTTAAAATTATTAAAATATTAAAATTATTATAATAGTAAAAGAAATTATTAAAAATATTAAGTTGTGTGTTACTAAATATCTGTGTTTTCATTTAAAATAGCTGCCTTCAGAACCTGGGATTTCTCAAACCCATTGTGTCGGAATTCAACCCAGAGATTGTCTGATAACCACAATTTGACTGCATTGAAGTGCAGAGATTCTGTACAAATTTCCAGTTCCGTGCTCTGGTTTCCCAGAATATGTCTTGCTTTTACACTGCTAGTCCATGGCTTTTACCTTATTTAGTCTGGAGACCATACCTAAACTATTCTTAATCTATACTCCAGCTGCCAGACAAATCCACTTTTTTTGCTATTTCTCTTTTTATTTACATAGCTAAAGAGTATTTTAACTTTGGAGGGAGTTTAATACCATTAATTAACTCATTGTGCATCTGCCAAACCTGGATTTATCTCTGCAAAGTCTTCCCTTCTGCAACAGTCTTCTTCAGCCTCTCTCCACCATCCACCCCACCCCCCCCCAGCTTTTTACTGCCTCTGGGCTAATATTTTGTTCCTTCTCTAATCTTTCAAGTAGACCTAGAACAATTTTAAATCCCACTTGCATTTCAGCACATCCATTTTTTCCACACCAATTACCCATCCATCATAACTGCAAGTTCTTATTTGCTGTGTATGCCTGTTTTCAAAACAATTATACTACCAGTTGATGCAGCCATCAAAAGGATAGATGAAAGCAATCTGAAAACAAAGCACAAACACTTTTGAGCATTGGCCTCTTGTCATGGTTCCCATTCTCTGCCTCTGGAAATTAGATTCCTCCTTCTTAAAAAGTCTGGAGCAGAGAAATAACCCTCTCCTTCAACCCTGAAATAATGAAGTTATTTCATTTTTTTCCCTGAAGTGATACGAAGACTTAGAGAAATGCCTTTCATAGTTGCAGCACTCTTGCACTACATTAAGACTAAACTTACGCAGAACACTACTACTGAATTTCCAGATAAAACTGACATTTTTATGAGAATCATGGGAGAAAAAAAATACCTTTCCTCTCAATATTGCCAACATCAGTTACATCGTTATGCTAACAGCGTGTTCTTGAGCTTCTGTTCACCACCAGAATACGAAGGGTTATATTCTTTCTAAGGAGGAAGACCACTTAAAAAACTCCAGGCTTCCCCTCTTCTCTTTCCATTCCCACTAGCACGCCCTTGAGGGTCAATACCATACACCAAAACTCTGAAATGACTTTTTCCTAAATTACTATTCAGTAAATGTGAGTTAATAATGCTTAAGACCAAATACACAGAATTGGTTTCTTTCATTTCAGCTCCACAAATACCTGTATCAGCACAAGGGAGAGCAGAAGCTGCATAGCACCAGTAAGGAACTTCTTAAATGATGCATCTGCC